GTATATACATATATATATATATGTATATACATATATATATATATATGTATATACATATATATATATATATATGTATATACATATATATATATAGAGTAAATTCTCGAAAAAACCCTTAGTCTTGAAAGTATTCTATATAGTGCCCCTCCTTACGTCTCTTCCTTCTGGATCCATTGAGATAATGGCGATCATTACGTCTCCTCCTTCCTCACATAAGAGCTACAAGTGTCGGATCCCAAGAAGTTAGTGAAGTTTGTGGAGGTGGTGGCAACTCTTGCAACATCTCCTTCCTTATATAAGGGCTACCAACAAACCGTATAAGAGTAGGTCAATAAGATCTATGAAGATAATGACGACTCTCACATCTCCTCCTTCCTTACGTAAGAGTTGCGGGAAATGATGGCTCTCATGCCCCCCTCATTCCTTGCATGAGAGCTACGAGTTAGTGATAGGTCCAATGGAGTTAGAGGCAAAATTATTATTTATAAAAAAAATATTTTTCAAAAATTTACTTTTATATATATATATATATATATATATATATATATAGCAATTATATGAGAAAATTTCTGTTGAAGAAAATCCTGTCTCCTAACGTGTATAAATAGGAAGCACATACCAAATATAAACATATCTCTTCTTCATTATTTATTTTTTTATGGTATTAGAGTCCTCTTGTCTTAGTAAGATTTCTTCTTTTTTCCTTACTATCCAGTGACAGCAATTACTCTGATCTCCTTGGTGCATCTCCTCGGTGCATCTCCTCCTGTTCTATCGAGTCGACGCCGAGAACCCTCTCTCCTCTGCCGTCGCTTTCTTCCCTACAGCGACTATAGCACTTCCTCGGCGAACGATGGTTGTCTTCCCCGTTGCTGCTCTATGCCAGCATCTGCCGCCCTCCCCATCCCGCGTCGCCTCGGAGCTATCGAGCTCTAACGCACTCCAGTGCTAGCTCCAGCAATTGTTCCATCTCCATGATTCCAGCATTGACGCCCTGCCCATCTTCCTATACAAGGACATGGTCGGCTCCAAGGAGCTGCTCGACTACACCGTCTGCTTGTGCGAGTTCGACAGGGAGAACGAGCTCCGACTACTGCCCGTCTGCGACATGCCTTCCACCTCAGCTGCATCGACACAGGGATCAACAATGCCAGATACCCCCAATCTACTGCCCTCCACCGCCTCTCGCCCCCCTCCTCCCCCTCCCCCAGATCGACTGCCACATCTTTCCGTTGCCACATCTCTGCCGAACGTTGCGATCTACACCGATTGAAGTCGTCATCGCCTACTCTGCACCAAGCAGTTGCCCCTCCTCCTGCAATCGTTCCCTAGAACTGTACGGCAGTGGAGCAGCAGCGGCTGCCTACCCAGCACTGTGGTGACTCATCCCATCCCAATTATTATCACAAGCACCGCTCACAGCAGATCTGCTCCTCTAGGCTGCACATTCTTCAACAATAGCATCATCAGCGTGGGAAGACGGGTAACAACTACTTCTAGTGCCACCCCAACCTCCCCGTCAACCACTTCCTCAAGATCAACAGCTTGCCCACCACCAAGGAGGCCTAGGCCATCGTTGACGATTTCTCCCTCGTCACTGTTCACCATCTCAATAGAATATCGAGCCATATGGAGAGTCGAGAACTCTTAATCCCCTTTCCATCACTGCCTATCGTTACAAAGCAAAGAACAACAGTGATTCTCACCGGCGACCTCATCTCTTCTTCACCGAGTGCTTTCTGTCGGCGAAGCCTCTCTATTCTTCAATTTTCGGATTTCTCCTAATTTGTATAAATAAGAGAAGGAACATATTAATGTATTGAAGCATTTTTATTTCTTCAATAAAGCTTCTTCACTTCTTAAATAAAGTTTTTTCAATAATTATTTTTATCTTATATTATTTTTATCATGGTATTAGAGCAGTGAGAAAAGCGAAGTTTCGCTCTTGCCTTTGGCCAGCGACCAACGTCGTTGAGAAAAATGAAGCTTCGCCCTTGTCTTCGGCCAGCGACCAATGCCGCTGTAGCCACATTCCTAAGAGGCTCCACGACCAATCCTCATCTTCTTCACGAAGTCTCTTGCTTGTAAATCATTCTTTGCATCGATATGAGGAAATCTCTCTATTCTGTTGAGAAAAATCCTCTATTCTGTGGAGGGAAATCCTTTCTCCTAATTTGTATAAATAGGAGAAGGAACATGTTAATGTATTGAAGCATTTTCATTTCTTCAATAAAGCTTCTTCACTTTTTCAATAAAGCTTTTTCAATAATTATTTTTATCTTATATTATTTTTATTAGTTTTATGCTGCAATACTCTTTACTGCCCAGATCCTCGGCCGTAGGAACTGCTGAATAAAGATCTGCAGCTTTACTCAATACCCTCCAGACTATACAAAGCTAAACATCTTCCTCCTTGATCACTGTTGTCTCTACATCTTGCTGACCTGCTATCGTCGTTGCAGCAATAGTCCAGTCCCCAGGAAGACCAGGAAGAAGCACGGCTCACCACACCTAATCACAGTCATATTCTCACCCTCCTATAGCTGAAGACTCTCATCTTGCTCCCTCAAATTGGTACATATCCTCAATATATCTTCATCGTCTACCTCTAACTCTCCAGTTACTGTCCCCGTAGGGAACTATAGCACTCCTCAACTACGCATCCTGATATACATAATTTTCTAATCTCCTATTTGGCTATGATTTACTAACTACGTCATCGGCTCTCTTCGTTGTCCACTAGCGATGCTCAACATCCCAGGAGCACCTAGTCTAGTACCAAATCCAGACTACAAACTATGATTACACCAAAATCATCTTATCCTCCAAGAAATTCAAGCCTTAGTTGCTAAATCCCTCACCCCACTCATATCTTTGTGTGACATCGTTGTTGAAGCCTGGTGCAAGTTGCAAACCACCTTAGCAAATCGTTCACGTACTTGTATACTTAATCTCATATCTAGTCTCATGAAAATAAAACAAGAGGGAAGTACTATTATTGATTATCTATAAAATATAAAAGTCATCATAGATAACTTGGCCCTGATAAGTCATTCCCTCAGTGATAAAGAAGTCATTATCTACACCCTTAACGACCTAGGGGATGAGTATAAAGAACTGGTAGCAACAATACAGACACATGACTCACTGATGTTATTTGAAGAACTCTATGACAAATTAACTAACTATAAGATATATCTCAAGCACGAGGATAAATTATCATGACCATCCACCATAGCTCCAGTCAATCAAAAATCCAAGAAGAGGGGTAAGAAGTATAACAAGACTGTCAATAAAGGTTTGACCAGAATGCCTCCTGAACTTGTGAGCTCTAAACAAACCTCCCCTCCTCCACATCATCAACATTTCGGTCACAACTATTAAGGTAGCTACTTTAATTATCCTCAGCCTTAGTGCCCTAACCACACAAATCAATAAAGAGTTATATGTCAATTGTGTGATCAAGTCAGCCACTCTACAAAAGTTTATCGATCTCGAC